TCACAAGTCTTTAGAGGTATGCCACTTTAAAATCGGATTAAATTTAGTAAAGTTATGGACTCTGGAAGTCCGATTGGGGGACACCTCATTACAAGTCATCGGAAACTTGGAAATAACTAACATGAAAATGGGTCAAAAAGTTGATCAACGGTAAATTGCAAATTTTGAATGCAGATTTTTAGAGAATCGAATCACAAGTCTTTAGAGGTATGCCACTTTAAAATCGGATTAAATTTGGTAAAGTTATGGACTCTGGAAGTCCAATTGGGGGACACCTCATTACAAGTCATTGGAATCTTGGAAATAACTAACATGAAAATGGGTCAAAAAGTTGATCAACGGTAAATTGAAAGTTTTGAATGCAGATTTTTAGAGGATGAAACCACAAGTCTTAAGAGGTTTGTCACTTTGGAATCAGATTAAATTTGGTAACGTTATGGACTCTGGAAGTCCAATTGTGGGACACCTCATTACAAGTCATTGGAAACTTGGAAATAACTAACATGAAAATGGGTCAAAAAGTTGATCAACGTTAAATAAATCGATTGCTGTTTTATGCGCTGTCCACAGTGTGATATACTTAATTCTGCCGCAAAGTGAGTTATTTCTGAAAACTGATGAAAATGAGCTGCCTTTGATTCTCTTACTGTAACTCCGCTGTTGTTGTTGGTCCTGCGGTTTGCTCGGCAGTTCGTAAGGTGGCACTAATTTGATTGTCTGGATAGCAACAAATTTTTACAAATGTACAAATTAATTAACTCTCTGGGGAAGGCATTCAAACGGAAATATGTATTAAATCAACAATAAAGTTGATACAGTCCGCTGGGAGTTTTGCAAATTAATGAAGATGGCTTTAACTTGCTGCATAAATGCAAGGCAATATTTTGTTGGTTGGCCGCATTTTCAGTCTTTTCAGACTTTTCAGGCTTTTGCCGGCTTCATTAGCCATTCCAAAGTTGGCTGTATATCAGGCGGCAGATTCATCTTAATATCCGCCGTCTTTTCGGAGCTCTTCGCTGCAGGCAGGATGCAGCAAAATGTTTGCTCTTCGCCTCCCAAACAATCCTCTTCATCTTTTTGGGGCACAAACTTATGCCGCACATTATGAGAATGCCGTTCAGCGTCGTCGCCTGCACATAAATTAATGAAAATTTATTTATGCCCCCGAAAAGTATAGAGCAAACAATGGCGCCAACTTTTAAGGACCTCGAAAGGAGTCGGGGCAGGAGTCGGGTTTCCAGTGCATTAGGCAATGAAGGCGCCGCCACCAAAGGTTGCATATATCACTCCGGGAAAATGTGCACCAGCTCTATGAGCAACTGTCATGCAACGTGGCAAATGCCGGTGAGGAATTCGTACTGAAAAATCAATTTGTTAAGCTTCAAATGGGAATTTTTCGTCGGGGACCCGCATCGCTTAGATAATATGCTTTTGTGTCGGGGGGGAAAATATTTGCCAGGATAACAAGCAAGGTGTCTCGTGTCGTATCCTTCCCTGGCGCTGAGCAAAATGACTTTTCGTGCTGCTTGCCAAATGGTCAACATTACATTTCCTATCTCTTCTCCGCTCTGTCCCCGCTTTTCTTCTTTTTTGCATGCAGTTTCCGTTTCCGTTTGGCTTAGTTGACTATCCCCGGACCCTGTCCGTTTCGCCCCACCCCCAGTCACTCTTTGCATGTTGTCACGCTTTTCGTGTCCTGCACTCGAAATGCACTTATCATGCAGAAGGTTCAGGACTTTGTTCACTTTGTTGGCTACTGGCGCAGTTTGTAGATGTTTTGTCGAAAATGTCAACAAAAGCCAGGCATTAATACCATGTTTAGACGGAAGCCTGTAAGCCTGCGTATTCTGTTTGCCTTTTTATGTCCTCTCTGCCACATCATCAATTACACATTTTACAACTGATGTGTGCTTTCCCCGTCCCAGTGGAGGTCACTGGCAAAACAGACATAAATCAAACATTTCCCACGTTGCGAAACAATTTCCGACTCAAGACTCCCTCTTTTCGTGTCTATCTTTTGGCTGAGTTTTATTTATGGCATCCGCCAAAACACAAACTGAAATACATACTCCTTCTGAACGACAGACAGACGGACGAACAGACATTTGATAAATGTATAGACAATATGACTTCAGTTAGAAAATGTACAATTGCTTTTAACTTGATACGTAATTGTTGTTGCTGTTTGGGGGCATTGTATTGCATTTTGATTTGTGGTTTATATGCTGTTGTTTGGCCCATAAATTTGGCTTATTTTGCATGCCATTCTTGTTGTGGGGAAGTTTTGGCAATTGAATCAAAACTTTAAAACGAATGGTAACGGTTACATGTCGTATGCGTAATATTTTCAAAAAGCATTCTTCACAACTTTTATTGAGCTTATACTGATTTTGATGAATTTTATTACGAAGGCAATGTGGTTTCCTTTGATATGCTCAGTAATTGAATTCTCGGTAAAAATATTTCACGTAGATGTCGGTATTTGCCTTTGACATACAAGAGTTGCAATTGAAATGCACAATTACAGGACATATTACAAACATATTTAAGAGTGAAATTTATATTTAATTTTATTTTCTAATGTAATTTTACAATTTTATCGTAGCATTTTTAACATTTTTAAGATCCCTTTTCTTTGAGAAACTTTCTATATAATTTAAACCAAGAAAATATTAATTTTTACACGTTTACCGAAATGGCAGTAAGAAACCGTGAATGGCAACTGGAAGCAGACAGAAAGAGAAACAAAATTTAATTTGCTCGGTAACATTTCATTTAATTCATTCCCTCATTATTTTCATTATTGGTCACATTTTATGATTGCTGTTTTGGATGGAACTGTAAGGCTTTTGAAAGGACCTTTGGCATTTGCGGCATGCAGCGTAATTTAATATGGCTTTCACTCAGCACTCAGCCCTCAGTTTATTTTCTCGACTTCCACCCGATGATGTTTTCTTTATGGCGGCGTTTTATGTATTTATTTTTGGGGACTGAAAGGGTTTTGGCCGGGCACGTAACTTCGCCAGATGTCCAATCTTGAGTGCCTAAATTATTTATTAGGCATCTTTTGCGACAGCTTACGACCTCATGAAATATTATATTCTTTGTGTCGAGTCAGCAATAACAAATGAAACATATGGCTCGGCAAGCGGCCTTTTTAGGTGGGTCAGCTCATAAATTATTTGTCGACTTGTGTGACCCAGAGGTCAGGCATAAATCCAATCAAATTGACAGCAAGTCAACACGAGAGGATCTACATATTAATTAGGCATTCTGGAATTCGGCTGTATTGAGAAAATGTATTAAATTTGGTAGAGTATAAGAAATTCTTGATATTTATTTTAATGTCTGCCTACAATTTGTAAAACATCATATTATAAAATAATCGTTTAAATGTTAATTAATTTTTACTTAAGGTGTGAAATTCAAGAGAAATTAGGATTGAAAACATTGTCTTATTTTGAAAGACTCAGGACTATTGGATACTATACACTTTCATTCAAATAACCCTGAGCTTTTTGGCATTCATTCCACAAGCAATTAAATAATTTATTTTCATTATTGTTTTCACATTTGGCAAATTAAATTGGCCACAAGCTGACTGTTTGTTTATTCATAATTTATACATTGGATTTCACAATATCAAATGAAAACCACTTGACTACATTGGACAATAGGCCAAATTATTTACGGCTGATTGGCATTGCCAGGCGCTTCATATTCATCAATATAATTTAGCAAAACAACCCAACGAAAAACACTGCAATGAAAATCCAATAAATATAAGGCTGTGTTGTTTTGATCTTCAAATTTGTCGTTTTCCTCTTTTCGTTAATCAAAATACAGTGGGTGGCAGTTTGGTCTTGAAAATGCAGTCTGGCAGTAAATTGCTAGTTTATTTCGTATGAAATTTATTTGGCCCATGCCCGTAAAATGCAATCTCAATGCCAGCCCAAGGGAATTTCTATCCTCCTGTTTGTGTTTTTGGGGGCAACAAATTTGCCATATCTTAATGGAGAACAAAGACACATAGACCTAAACTTACGGCAGTTGAACCGAACCGAACGAGTGGCTCTGGCCTGTGGACTTGACTAAGGGAAGCCGAGCAAATATTTATTTGGACTTTCGTGCCAGTAAACGGAGTATTAGTTATCCTGCCGCCAGGACACTCCATTTGCACCTGAAACTTATGCAGCTGAGGCTGCAGCTCTTGATGTTTATTTTAATTGAATTGTTTCTGGGCGGGTTAAAGCAAGTTATAAATTAACAGCTAATTGTATATGCAAATTAAATTGCACTGCCACTGCAGATGGCATTTATATCATAATTTAAACACATTCATTATTTATTTAAGTTTTATAATGCAGATATCTAGCTAAGAGCTTTCAACTAAAATTGAAAGTGATTGACCCACAAAAGATATTCAATTCAAATATGTATATGACGTCAACCTAATTTTCATATTAATTATTAACCAATAAAACTATTTTATCCAATTATTACATAATACAAATATTGGCATTTTATTTCATATTTTTTGTACTTGTAACTTAATGGCCAGAGATAAGACTTGATCAATCTGCTGACTCTGTAAAGTTATGCAAATCTTGACCAAGTTAATTTGCATGAATGGAAAGGCCAATTAAATAAACACACACAGTTAGGAAAATTAACAAAGCGGTATAAGCTGACCGACACAAAGCAGTTGGCAAACAATGGCAAATGGGCAAACAAACACATATTGTCCGACATTTCACCACTACACCCGGCGACAGTTAATAGATTTATGCAATTGAAGTCCTCTGACGGCGATAAACTCAAACAAAATGGCATGAGGCCCGGGTAATTTCCGCTCCCTGATGGATGAAGGTCTTGCTGGGCGGAACAACCTCGAAATGTCCATCAAAAAGTGTGGCCACGACAGACCAGAACAGATAAGATATGAAAAGCAATTTACGTTAACTGTCAACAACAAATGCGCCCTCGAGGACACGACTCGATTCATTTTATTTTATTTTATTTTTTATTTATCCACGATTAAGCATTATTGACGTTTTAATGCCATCGCTAATTAATGCGCCTGATTATGTGGTCGAAAAATATGACATATCCATAGGTGTGTGAGAAATACGTTTCGCGGTTGGCATTTTTCGTATATGGGCATTCGCAGTTGGCATTGACGCAGAATATCTTGTGATCACCAACGTGTTTTATCAGCAGACTGTGGGCCCGTTTTCTCACCACTTGGAAATTATCGCTGTCGTTCGAGGACACTCGATTCTGGTTCCAGTCAAAGAAGCTGAGATGGCGTCTCGATGGCATCAACTTTACCCTGCCCTCGAAAATACCCCGCCAGTCTACGTAACTCTGTGAACTGTGACAACGCGACTCCCGCATACTCTGCTCCAGATCGAAAAAACTGGATATCTCCAGACCCTTCTTCGAACGCATCAACAGGTATACAACGGTCTGAAAAAGGGGAATTTATAGGATAACCACAAACTTAAAAATATTAAAGTTCAGAGTCGTTATAAAGAGTGACATTAAATATTTTAAGATCAAATGTTGGGCGGTGGACATATTATTTAAAATTTAAATGATAAGAAAAGATATCTCATAAATGTTTTATTTTATCAAAGTTCAAAGTCGTTATAAAGAGTGACATAAAATATTTTAAGATTAAATGATGGGCGATCGACATATTATTTAAAATGTAAGTGATCAAAAAGCTATCTCATAAATTTATATTTATCAGTATTGAAATTTGTTTAATAGATTATATATTTTTAAAATGTTTTTTTCCCTCACCGAAATTTGTTTCTGGACCAGTTTTTTCTCTCGGATAGCAATCTCCTGCAGGACCTCGTCATCGTGGTTCAAAAAGTCGCCAAAGAAATGGAATCCGCATAAGCCGCGTGGCCTCAGCAGGAGAAACTCTATTGCTTTTCGCTGGTGGAAATGCTCCCGAGTTAGCAGACTGCCCAGGCAATTCTTTCCGCAGGCATTTTCGATCAGCTTTCTCTGGACCTTTTGGTTGCCCAAATAGCGTTTGTCGTTGATGGTGATGAAACTGTCCACATATTCCTGGTACGTATTAAAGTTTATTAGGCTCATGATGGAAAACGCAAAATCTTAAAGAGGGTTGCTAATTGAATTACTTTTCAACTTGAACCAAGTAACTCTAACGAAAAGCTGCTAAAAGGCAGTCAAATTGTGATGTTGTGTCGATATTAGTGTAATTTAAAATGTATAATATTTTGAACAAGTTCGAGGAAAATACATTACTGACAACTGACAACAAACTGCTAACTTTGTCTCAAAAGGCCAAACTTTTGCTTGACTTTGATAAGCAGAGATGTTCCCAAATTCAGTTTCAAAATGGAAATCGCAAAAATATTATGTAAAATAAATCGTAAAAGAATATTCTTTCTTATTTTTCAAAAAAGACTAGAAGTTTTTCATAAATAATATCTTAATTAAAAAACTTGTGGAAAGCTGATAGCCGGAGTGGGTTTTGAACAATTTGGAGCCGTTTAAATTTCATGTGCTGCAGAAATAATTAAACATTGCCCACATAGACGAGTGCTCTTGCTAGAATTCGCAGTGCCGTTCGTGTGGCAAATTTAATAAATGGAAAAAGTTTCACAATGCCCAAGCCCCGACTTTGCCCTTGTCCCTTTTGCCCAGAATTGTGAGTATTTTCAATTACACTTTTCTATGTGCCACGCCTCCTCACACTCCCACGCCCTCCCACACACACACGCACACCGTCAGGGGCATTTCGCATATTAAACTAATTACTTCATCAACATTTTAAATTGCCAGCCAAAGGGAAATTTGCATTTTCAGCCCGTGCGTATGCAACGCTCTTTGTCCTTTTCCGCTTGATATCCTGTTGAGCGCACTCTGTCGTGGATTAGGAGGATAACAAGTGACACCTAGTGTTCGGGAATACGCTCTATAAATCCACAGACAAGGGGTAGATCAACTTGAAACATAAACTTAAAACTGGGACGAGGGTTTCAAAAAGTACAGATGTTGTACCCTACCATTTACACAGCGTATTACGGTACATTTTTAAAGATTTATTCAATTTGGTAAATAAAGTGATAAAAGAAAACCATTTCTGAACATTAATATAAAGTGTTTCATGCTTGGAAACCTAATGCTAGTCCTTGCAGGAGTTCAAGTTCTCTTTAAATTTGAAATGTAAAAATTTATTATTTTTTTTTAAATTAAACATTTTATTTCCATTCAGTTAATATCCTCTCACATACTTATATTTCTATAACACAGATAAAGAGGTTTAAACAATTACTAATCTTTAGTAAAAACAAATACTCGAATGTTATAAATCGCTTATCAGCCAGTTAGTTAGCAAATAGGGTGTGTAAAATGTCCTGCATTTCCTGGCAGTTTTCCAGCTTGCTTTTCAATTTCCACACAATACGCAGCAAGATTTTCCGTTTGGCTCTGGAGGTGTGTGTCTGTGTGAATTTACGCTATTTAGACACGCTTTCCCACTGTTTGCAGTTGTTGCTGCCGTCGCTGCAGCAATTAACATGCAGCCGCTGCCGACACTTGGAGCTCAGTGCTCCACTTTCCCCGCCCAGGATTTCCCAGCCCCTCACCCACCCCTTACCAGGGTTTCCCAGCCCGCCTCACAATTTTCCTCCGCTTTTCAAGTACCAACTGCCGTTCCGTTTTGCGTGCTTTGTCACCATCTTGCCGCTTGCCGCCGTCTTGAGCGCGTAAATTGCTACTTCGTGGGCCAATCCTCCTGCTTCCCCGCCGAAGTCACGAGTCCTGGTGACATCCCCTCCCCCCCCTCAGCTATACCCACTTCCTGCTCCAGGACTCCCATTCCAGCCGTTGCGTCTTGGCCATGGCCATTGTTTGACTTGGTCATTAGTAAATGTACTTTGTCGCAGCATAAAAAGGAGTTAAGTGCGCACTCTAAGGATTTATGTGCATTACCAAAGAATGAGGCAGCAATGCTCAATGCTGCCCGGGAAACTGCCTTTGCCATGTGTTAAGTGCACATTTTTGATGAATGAGTCGGGTGGATGTGGATGTGGATTGGGATGAGGTCCCAGCAACTGCTTAACAATTGCAGAAAGTGCAGAAAGGGTTGGGGGCTTGAATTTATAGTTGAGCAGTTGGCTGCATAATAAGACAGGGCATGCCAATGATCATGATGGGAAGTTCCATAGAAATAAATTATCTATATCAGTGATATCATTGTTTCCTCTGTCCATAATATTGCAATAAAAGATATAGTTAGCTTCTGAAATAGATAATAATACTATGGGCATCCATATACCATTTGTTTTGCTTGTGTTTAATTCAGGGAGTGCTTCTCAATTCGTTCTTAATTTGAATTTAATTTTGCATGCGAAAACCCCCATTGGGACTACAGTTTTTTTTAATCCCCTTACTCGATTGCAATTTCCTTATTCTAATGTCATTCGGCAGCAGTAGGGCCACATGTCCGGCAAATAAATTGCATCCAGACATCGGAGACGCCTTTGAACTGCTATCAAATGCTAACACAAATTATCAAGTTACCATAAATTGCTCTCGCCCGGCCCGTACATCTTGCGAATGAAATCAAAGCCACATAAATTGTGCAAATAATTCTGGCTTCTCCATTCTACTTTCTGTGCCTTCTGCCGGCAGCGAAAAGGGCGCCCACAGAGTGCAGCCAAGACAAAGGACGGGCCAAAAGAATCATCACTTACAACTGACCACAAAGCCCCATCCCATCCGCAGCCACGTCCACATCCCTTGGGAGCGGTGGTCCCGCAATCGATCAAAAGGAATTATGTCTCAACACAATTGTAAATAAATCTTTGCGGCCATGTGGACATCATGTGCATGTGCCGAGGTCCTGGCCGAAGGACTTAGCCGGCAAAAGGGAGATGGGACAGTCTGAAATCCTGCATATCACAGACGGGTATATGAAGATTGAGTGGTAATGTGTGCAAATCTAAAGCTTTTCTCCCCAGGACCTCCAGCCCCCCATCCACCGGCATGCGGTTGGTTCGATTCCCGTCTGTCCGTTGACATGTTGGTAAATTGGTCCTTAGCTGATTGCATCGATTGCCGAGGCCGGTCTTAGCCAGAAACTGGGGAATTAAGTGTAAATGCCGGAAATTAATCTGCTCAAAAGGAGGACACAAGCCGAAATAGGCCCCAGCCCAAGTGCAATATTATTCAAAGGGATTTTACAAGTGCCGTTGGCATTAGAAAATCGCCTCGACGAACAGCTGCCGGTTCCATTTAGAGGACAAAATTTATAATGCGCATCGATAATGATTTGTAATTTAAAGCTCAAACAAATTTCCGGCAATTTTTGCGGCAGACACGCGCCCAACATTTTCCGCCACCCACCTCCTTGAACTTGTTTACTTTTCATCTGCCAGGAAAAACAACTTGAAGGCAGCGAAAAAACCGAACTTATCGGCGTAATCATTGAGCCAAGGAAAGAAACATTAATTTGTTTCTTGTAAACTGCCTTGCCGAGGGCTTTGTGCAATCAACACGAACGTGAGCATCTTCAATGGTTCGGATTGTTTGGTTTGGTTTGGGAATCTTCCCAACCGGAAATTCAATAGCAGGAAATGTGAAATGGCCGTTAATGGCGTACATAGTGCGTATGCGTAATGTGCCGGAGATCAGACTGAAATAACTAGCCTTACGTGCGTGTCTGAAATCTTTTATGCGCACATTAAATCACATAAGCACAGGAAGTAATATTTAATTGCTACAAAATAAATTATTAATAAATATTTAATTACAATCAGATATCAAATCTTTAAAGCCATTTACTGACTGTCAAAAATTTGTCAACCTATGTTAATTAAAATGGATATTTGTGAAAAATTATTTAATGCTTCTCCTTTTGGTTGATGTCGTTTGATTTATTCACTTTGAAATATTTATTAGGCTTGCTTCAAGATAAAAACAGTAAACAGCTTGAATGAAATAAAAAAATAAAAAAAATGTATTATATTTTATTCAAATGAAAATGAGGTACAAGAATAGAACAAAATTTTGAATTTTTCCTTTTTTCGAGGTAGAAAACCGGTGATCACATTGCACAACTTGCCTGCAAATATAAGCAGGCCTGTAAGCGATTACCAGTAATAAGGGCACATGTTGATGGAACATTTCAAGAAGGTGGGAGAGGGGAAATGGGAGTGGCACTTCATCCAACATCTGCCGCTTCCTCAGCCGCCTGTCATGTCTATTGTTAGTCGCCCAGTGTTGCCTGTTCCTCGTCATGTCGGTCATTAAAATCGTGTACACCATATGCCAGACATATTAATTTTTTGCCACCCGGAAGTCGAGAGCGTTGAGCCCACGCCCCGATTTATAGGCAGTTGTTGGCGATTACGTGGCTCTGTTGCCTGCGACACGTGAGCAGTGGATGCGCTTACGTGGTTATGGTTATCGCCCTTACGTAATTTCCTTTGCTCATAATGGCATTGTTGTCGTACAGGCAATTAAATCCAATTGCTGGCTGCCCAAAACGGATTGAGGGAAATCGACTCTCATGTAATCTACTTAAAATGTATTTACTTTGTATTGGTTTTAAGACATTAAAAGGTGTTTGTGAAGGTTTAATCCGAGAGGGGCTCAGATAAAAAGGTCAAGCATTTAATATAAATGTATCGTTATTTCAAAAGTAGTTGTCTTCTTTAAACTTGTTATTAAACCAAATCGACTGAATGGTCAGTTGATTTTCAAAAACTATATGGACCAATTTCTGTTGAACATTTTAAGAGATATTAGCACACAATTGTTGGCCAGAACATATCCCAGCCACATCATTAAAATCTTCTCTTGTATCTTGTAAAGTTCTCGGCCCACAAGCTTGTTACTTCCTAACGCTTTAGTAATGACCGACCAACATCAAGTCCTCGGAGTTGGGAGTGCGGGAAAATCCTTGCTGTAAACCGCACACAATTTTGTTATTTTTGCGGCAGACGAGCATTGTATCCAACTTGACGGGAGAATCCACAGAAGTGAGGGAAAATTTTCCCTTTGCTGTCAGTGGCTCATTTGGCTGCTAAAAAGGCCAAAAGTCTGGACGAACTTGGACCAACAGACAGACGGACCAGCGGACAAGGACGAGGGGATCATCCATATCCTTTGCCGCAGTTTACTTTTGGGGGAAAAACAAAAAGTGAATAAGTTGTTGCCAGTGTTTGCTGGAGACTGCAAAATGGCCTGCAACTATCCCCAGAGAAGTGTTGT